GCAACTTAGTGTAAAATTTTACGAGTCTAGAGGATTCGTACAAAGCCTAATAAAGTTAAAGCATGACTGCCGAATTAAAAAAAAAAAAAAAAAAAAACATGTTGAGGGTGTGGTGACATATTGAAGTGGTAGAGTTGTCGCATCCCAAGTTTGTTAGCTATAAGTACTGAGTTCAAATCCTACTAATGATATTTCGAATAATTTACTTGTGTCACAGTAATAGCTTATTCTAAATTGGGCTGAGTTTTATACCTGTAAACTAGAGTACACCAATGCCCTGAGTTGGCACTAGGAGACATAAAAGCATTTGTATTACTGTACAAAGAAATGCAAACCAATATAGATGATGCAAATCTATGATAAGTCTTCCAGAATTGAGATGAGTTAAAAACCTACACATAGTAGCCTAAGAAAACTAAAACCGGCTTGGCAAATCCCGATTAAAGAAGTAGCAGATTAATCTAACCAGGTGCTACAGGACAGATCTGACTAGACCTCAAAAATTGGAGAAGTTGTGTGACAAAGATCTTACAAGCAAGAGAAATCTATCAACCAGGCCACCAGGTTATTCGAAGGAAATGATTACATGTTACAAAATTGTGGACCAAAGATTGGAAGACCTTCAGACTTAAGCCTGAAAAACTTGGTTTAGACAGACCAATTCTTCCAAGCCAACTGGATTGAGAGGATGACAATACCAAAAGAAGTAAGAAGTAGAAAGTGATGGAATGTAATATAGAGGTTTGTAAATCTTAAGAGAGTAAAAGTAAATAATAGTAGAGTTTCAATAGTTAGCTCTAACCCCAAGTATATGAATTAAAGCATGGTTTAAGTTACTAAAGTCTAGGTAAATACATATATGGGAATGTACTACTCTGGCATAGCAGATTTACTTTGAGGATAAATAAGAACATATGGTCTCATTCTAAGTCTGGCTATTAATCTAGTGGTATCGCATAGATCTATAATGCCCTGGTGCATATGGTGAGATTACACCTGGGTTTTAAGTTTTACATAGTGAAAGTAAAGATATGATCAGAGGGTTTAAATAGGTACCCCACATAGTAGGGATGCAGGTACGGCAGATAGTGTAAAATTCTTAGCATAGCACTACTGCTTTGGGTGGACCACTTAAATTAGATACCAAAAGTGCACATGTGGCTATATATATTCTTGTTAATACTTAATGATAATAAATCACTATTAACAAAGAGATCACCTTAACACCAAAAAAAATAAATAAATAAATAAAACATGTTAATATTATAAAACATATTAAAGATTTTATTTCTATTAAAATATTATCTTATTTTATTTTATATTATTTGCAACATTACAATATACTAGATTATCTAGATAATATTTTTTTAAATAAGCTTAATTGCAAATATATCTAGTTTAATTTGGTATATTTTTTTATAGCTTAGCTTACAAATTTTTTCAAGCTACAAAAAAATATACTAGGCTGGACTAAACATGTTTGTAAACTTCAGACCCAAACTAATTTGTTTAGCACTAATATATATATTTTGTATTATATATTCAGATTTAAACTAGTTTGCAAACTTTGAACTAAATCCAAACCAAACTCATAATTAAAACTAGTTTGAGCTTGAACTAAACTTGAATTTAAACTTAATCAAAGTTTAGTTTAGTTTAGGTTCATAAAATATTAGAATTGAAGTAACTATAAACTAAAGATTTGGCAAACCCAACCATTTAGGCTATTACTATAGATTAGAACTTTAAAAAAGTTTATAAATTAGAAAAAAATAAAGTATATAAATACTAGAATTTTAAATAAACTTTATAAAAGTATAATAATTTATAAATTACTTCAAACTACAAATAAAAGTCCTAGTAACTGTAAATAACTAGATTAGCCAAATATAGAATATAGAAGGCTTATGTAGATTTACTTAGAAAATATAACCAAATTCTAGTCAAAATCTAAAATATAGATTAAAAGTCTACTTGTAAAAGTAAATAACCTCTAGTTGGGTTACAAATATGGCAGCTAGTATAAAACCCAGGATAAACTATTTAAATAAACAACTAAAATTTGCATATGTAGCTAGTTGTTCCAGAAGATTTATCTTCTAGTTAGGTTGCAAATATAATAGCTAGTATAGAACTTTAAGGTGAACTACTTAAATAGGCAACCAAAAGTTACATATGTGGCTAGTTATACTTTTATTGTAATCTGAAGTAATACTTTCAATAAAAAAATATTGCCAAAGATATCACCTTAATACAAAAAAAAAAAAAAGATAACAACTAATAAATATATTACTAGTAGTACAAACCTAAATCCTATCTATTAATTATAATAAACAAATTATAATACAATTATTAAAATAAACAAATTTAATATTGACTATTTTAGCAAATAAATTTTTTTAAGCTTTAACCTGTATTTTTTTTAATAAAACATTGACAAATTAATTTCAGATAATAATAACTGTATCGCACCCAAGGCGTGAGAAATAATCATGCAGCAAAGTGTACTTCCTAGATCTCAAAATATTAAAAAATCAGATCATATAGTACAATACTTTTTCAAAAGGTTAGCAGCTAACCCAACGGATCCACTTTCAATACAAATAAGTGATAAATTGTATGCGGCTTCTTTTTTCAAGTCTGTTGGATCCTCATCACAAACTTCATCATTATTTTTCTTTAATTTGAGTAAATAAACAAATATTATAGATTAATAAAGATAATCTTGAATTCTTTTTTAAAGTAGGGTTAAATTACCTTTTCTTGTTCTCTAAGAACTTCTTGTAAAGATGGTAATTCAAGAGCTTTTTTATAATGAGGCACCGCTAAATGTGTTAAACCTGTTATATGAACTAATAATTAATGCCATGCTTGATTTAATAAAGAAGTGATTTATTAATTCTTAAACGAAAAAGATCGTACCTAATTGATGAAATGCTCTCCCAAGATTATATTCGGCTTCTTGATTACGAGCTTTCAATTCATAATAGTTATATAAGAACGTAAAACCCTGTTCAGAAGTATATATTCTAGAAGATTAAAATCATCAACCGTCAGCTCAAACCATATAACGAATAATTACCTGCATAATCTGCAGATGCCTATTATCTGTTTGTCTCTGCATCGCCCGGTGCAAGTACGCAAGTCCGATAGACAAACTAATTAGAGGGTCATTTGGTTTTTCAGCGTAAGCACGGGCATAATAGCCTGATAAATTATAACGAATATCATTAATTCGAATCTCGCTACACTCATACCGATCTCAGAATGTAAATTTACCAACAGCTCCAATATAACTTCTGGCACATGCTAATATATGACCATAAAGAGCTAGTAAAGCATCGTTAGGTTTTTCTGGTACGTTTGTTTTTTTATCCCCTGAAACACCATTATCCATTGATTTGACTTGACGAAGAAAATATTTCTGCGAATTTGCTGATGCAAAGCATGATAAAGCATTTGCACCACTAGACCGTTTTTTTGTTGAAATGATTACACGGAAATACCGGAATAACGTTAATTAAAGCATAAATTTAGAAAAATTTAGAAAATTTAGAAAATAACTATATACCTAGCCATGCCTGCGCCATATAATCTATAAACTTTACTGTCAAATGGCTTGAAATTACATAACCATCTTGTACTTTCACACACAACCAAAAAGTTGCGAGTGTATAGTCCCCAAGCTGTTTGTCAAATAAATAGTAAATATCAATATATTATGATAAAATAAATACATAATTCCACACCTACCTAATGATAATAGCTTAAACCCAGTTTTATATTTACTGTTGTGATAAAAAATGTTGGCTCTAGAAACGGTTCGGAGAACATCAAAAGCTTCTTGCTCGTAACCATATGTGGTGGCAATAAAAATATACTGTTATGTAAAAATTTGATGGCATTTACAATAGTAAAATTTTGTTAGTAAATTCTAAGAACTTAGAGTTTACACTATCGGTTCAAATTACAAATGTCGATACTTACCTTTATGGAAAAGTCAAACCACTGCGCAAATGTTAGACCCTGGAACTCTGTCATTTTTTTATGTATTTCGGCTTCCAATTCTCCAATTTCACCATCTACAATTGTTATCATTATCAATAGCTAGATAAATGAAATCAGAATAAATAATTAAATAAAATAATTTGAACCAATCTGCCATTGTAATCTCTTAGCCATGGTGGTTGCTTGTTCTTCAAGATCTGCATCATCATCATCAGCAGCTTCCGCCCTTAATGCCAATTGTCTTCTCCAACATCTACGACGGTCAAAACCTTTGTATGGAATCATCTAATAATTCCATATAGTTAATAAATGCAATACATTACTATTTAAAAACCTTGGAAATATAATAGAATATTGCCTTGTCCCTGGGAAAGAATTGTCTGTGATTTTTAAGATCTTCGAATAATATTCTGGCTGTTTTTAGAAACTCCTCTTCTGGGGCTTTTTTATTATCACCCTCTGGAGATTCTTTGTCTCCATCCCTTGAAAACTCATCCGAAAGTTTTTTGCCGTCATTCCTTAAACTATTATATAATAATTCGAGCCTATGAAATTGAAGCTTTGTTTCATGTTCTTTTTCAGCTTGTTGTCTTTTATGTTCTTCCTGTGTTCTTTGGAAAGCGTTAGCTTTCGTTTCTTCTAATTCATGAATTAGTGATGAATCAAGGCTTTGCGGAAATGTTGAGGGTGTATCGATGACAATTGGTCTATTTTGCGACGTTGATATCTGTTGTGTTTTAGTGGTTTCATTTTCCGCTCGCTTAGATTTGCGATACTCGAGAACTTTAGAATAACTCAAGTGGTTATTAAATTGTATTATAATTATAATTACTATATACATGTATATATACCTAAATTAACAATTTCCAGTGCCTTCTCATTTTCACCTAAACCTTCATATGCTTCAGCAAGGGCCATTTTAGCATCTAAATCATCGGGTAAATCGTCCACCGCTGCCATCCAATTGATAAATTGTTACCAAAGGCGCATAAAATTTATATAATTTTTAAATTACCTTACCCGCTTTATAATATTTTACAGCACTTTGCAAATTTCCTAATTCCCGATGACATGCTCCTATTCGAAGCCATGCGGTTGCATTATTTGTCTAAAATTGATAATTATAATGTTAGTAACTAGGTTAAAAGATTGCCAACTATTAAGAATAAGGAAAATTTAATGGTTACGGAATTATTCGAAACAACAATTTCATAAATTGCCAACGCATCTTCAAACAATCCTTTTTCAGCATAAGTCTCGGCGACCTCATAATATAGGTCAACATATTTTTCAACTTCATAGAAGTCGAGATACGCAAAGTGTAACTATTTAATTAATGTCCAAAATTAATATATGCTATCACGCATTACCATTAGAATCTTGATAAAGTAAAATCACTTGCTTTTGCTTCTTCGAGTTGTTCCAATTCGACTCTGCATTGTCCTAATTTAACTCTTAATTCCAATGGTAATGGAGCGTTCGAACCACCAATATTATCTACACCACTAAATCGAGCTAATAACATAGATGTGTCTCTTCTATTTGCTTTCTCATCTTCTTCATATTCTCGATCATCAGCGACTGCATCCCACCAAGTTTCATTCTCCCTTCCTTGCAACCAACGCACACCTTGTTTTATGAATTCAATAGCACTACTAAAATCATTCATAAGCATATACAGCTCAGCCATGATATTAATTTCCGAAAATCCCAAACTGCCTTCAGATTCGGGATCTTCTGAAAAGGGTTGGCTTCTATAATATTCGTATGCATCAAGATAGAGCTCAACGGCTTGTGGAATCTCATTTAACAGTACTTGTATTCTTGTAATTTCTCTAATGATATTCATGTCATAAGGCATTTCTTGTAAAAGTTTTTTAAATCCGTCAATTGCCTTAAGAATTGAACATTATTAATGAAAGCTCGAGTTGAAAATGGAAAAAATAAATATCAATACTATTTACTTTTCTATATTCTCCTATTTCTCCATAAAGAATGCACCTATCCCAGATGGCATCTTCATCATTATGATCACATCTAATCGCCTTAGAGAAGCAATATATTGCTTGATGAAGAGCGTTTTGATCTCTGATGCGTAAAAATGAATGCAAAGTAATAAGCGTGATTTGATATTTCAAATCAAGAATGATAAACAAAATAAACATACTTGCTTAATAAGCCTAATCTTTTCCATAAGGCACCATCCTTTGGTGTTAAATGTGCAGCAACTAAATATAATTGCAGCGCTTTATCCGGACATCCTATCTCATCTTGTATGGTTCCTAACGTAAACCAAGCAATATGGATATTCGGATCCATCTTTACAATCTCTTGAAGAGTTATAATGGCTTGTGGATATTGTTTATTGACATAATACAAGTTTGCGTCTCCTAATAACTTCTTTAGCATAGGTGACAGCGTGCGAATTCTTGGACCACTCTAGCATGAATGGGAATTCATTTGAACATTTCGTATTAAGGAAAAAAATCAAAAAGACAATCTACAGATATCTGGAATGATAAGTACCCTTCCCTTCCGGATTTTTCCTATTCCACTAGTGATTCTCAAATCTTTATTAAATTCATTCCATTCACTTTCTAAATTTTGCCATAAATGAGGAACGACATCACCAGTGGAAAGATCTTTTCCAATTGCTTGTGCTTGAGATAGAAGTCGCCTTTGTTTTTTATATCCCAATGAGTTTAAATCCAAAACCAAACATTTAAACAAGTCAAAAATGAAGTAATTACTCAAAATCTTCCTCGTCTCCAGATTCAATGTGATCATCACCCTCGTTTAAATTAGAATCTATCTCAGTCATAAATTTTTGAATGTCTTCATCCTGAACCTGAAATTCATCTGCGTTTAATTCTTCAAATTCCATATCATACATTCCATCATTATCAAGCCAATTCATGTCTTCTGAATAATCATTAGTTTTATTTAATTGGCCCAAATCATCGAATGCCATTAATTCTGGCGGATTCGGTTGTTTAAATACTGGGATTTCGTCTACAAATGTAAAGGATGATTCTAAAGGGGCATCGGTAGATATTCTTTGTGACATATCTGCCGTTTCGGCGAGCATATGTACTATATCCGCGTCATCATAAGTATTGTTAAGCAAGTCAAGGAATGTGCTCGGTAATGGTGGGGGACGCGGTAGTGACGGAAAATTTGTCGATGATTCATTTATCGGTCTTTTATCCATTTGGTAATATTTTAGAAAGCAAATGAAAAAATGAAAAGATCTTTCATAATTGCTAAATTCAATTCATATGGGCTAATTTCGGAATATTGGGCCCTGAATAGAGTCACTAAATTCAGTTTAAACCCCTTGTTTAATTGTTTTTGATTGGTCTAACGCATTGTTAGGGTGATTGATTTGATTTTTCGAGGGTCTTTTCTGCACAATTATGCAAGAAGGATATAACGAATATGCATTTAACCCATTAGATTATCTTCAAACCCATTAGATTATCGACCCAACCAGCTGTCGGAGTATAGAGAGTCATGTCATTTGACATCGTTATTATTATGTATATATTATCAAAAATGGTTAAAAATGGGCATAAAAATTTTTTCGTGTTATCACAAATCAGGGACCCGGAAAATTTTGGAAATAAATTTTTGGACCTAATCTTGATATTTCCAAATTTTTCGACTTTGGCCAAATTTTTCCAAATTTTTGGCCGATTTTCCAGAAAGCATGTGATCTGACCAATAAAAAATGAGACAATTAGCATGTGATCTAGCCAAAAGCATATAAATATCAAATTTCATGTGGCTTGTTCTTTAAACGCAATACACAATAGAGTTTAATAATACTCTACCACTACAAGGTCTTTTGACCAAAAGTTGTACGAAAGGGGGAAAGTTGGTGTTGGTGCTTTTTTTTTGAACATGCACAAATAAGAAAAAAAAAAAAAAGGCTCCCAAATGAATCACTGCTTATACCCATGTGCAAGAGTTTTCAGAGCACTTTGTCTTGGATTCCAGAAAACTTATGTAACCATAGTGTTAACTATAATAATAAATCCTATATTACAACACACACAAATAGCAAAACCCACCAAAAAAAACGGGAAGCTTTCTTAAAATCCTCTCAACAAACATGACAATGGTGTCTTTCGTCGTCTCTAACGGTCGCTGGCAAAAAAAAAGAAGTTGTATGTGACCTTCTTACCGCATGGGTTGAGGCTAACATACCTATAAAAAAACTCGACAAATTTCGTGAGTTTTTGAATACATATTGCAAGGAAGGTGGTGCCATACCTGTGTTGGATACCTTACGTCACTCATACTTACCAAGAATTTTTCAAGAACATTTGGAAAATTTATATAGTATATTTAGTGAAATGCCTGTTGTAATAATCATTGATGAAACAATAGATTGTAAGGGACAAAATGTTGTTAATATATTGTTTTCTTATTGTGGAACAACTAAGCTTGTGTTAGTTGATTTTTTAGAGGCGGTAAATTTTTCAACAATGGGTGGGCTTATTTTGCGGCTATTAACAGAGTGAAAAATTTTTTTTAATCTCCCGAAGTTAATTGCTTCTGATTCTGTTTCTTATATGAAGAAGTGTTATCATGAAGCCTTAAATCCTGTAATGCAACAATTGAAACATAATACTTGTTTAGCCCATATTGTAAATTTAATTGGGTAAATAATAATTACGGCATTTTTATGGAATTATTATTTATTAGTTGTATCCCTTAATATGTAGACCAATGCAGGCAAATTTGCCTGCGTTTTTGCACTTTTTTAGCTCTGATTTACTTTTTTAAAATGCTAAAATATTT